AGAAGAAGAAGAAGAAGAAGAAGAAGAAGAAGAAGAAGAAGAAGAAGAAGAAGAAGAAGAAGAAGAAGAAGAAGAAGAAGAAGAAAGAGTGGCACATGGGAAAGAGCTCAGGACTGGCAGATGGGTGGGGAGAATTAGAATTCAGCACTAACGCAAATCTTTAGTCTTGCTGTGTAATTCCTTGAGGTGTTGGTTGCCTCATCTCTTAAAAAACTGCATACTGATCTGTCACTTAACTATCTGATTAGAGGCAATGTTCTGATCAAATAAGATCATAGATATGAAACCACCTAGAAAATTACACTTGCCCTGATGTGGGGCTGGGGTACAGGACAGAGTGTCAGCCATCAATGAAGATTGCGAAGATATGCTCTTAGCAACCTGCCAGCCACCCCCGGAGCAGAAGGTGTAAGGCACAGAGGGAGGAGCTAAAGGAGGGACCAACATCAAGGCCGTCCTTCCCCACCCAGCATCAGTGCTGCTGACAGGGTCTTTAGCAGCCCCTCTTCCTGCTGGTGACACTGTGTGTATCCATGAGGCTACAGATGAGGGAGGGGCGATGGGAAGATATTAGGGAGAGTCAGTGGGCTGAGACAAACATAAAGGCTAAAGGGCTGGGTTTTGTGGAGAGGACGGTTTGGCTGAGCTGATCATTCGGTAGGAGTTTCATTGCGTGTTACTTGGAAGCACCAACTTCCTAGTTCCTCTAGGCCAGTGATGGCAAACCTTTTAGAGCTTTCCGTGATATGAACACCCTGCTGTGACGTGCATGCCATAGCTTTGCCCCCACTGTTCTAGGCCTTAGGGTGGCATAACCTCATTGGCGTGTAGTTTGGGACTCTAGGAAGAAAGGTCAGGGCCACTCCAAATGCACAGCCTTATTACTGTGGCATATAGGAACAATGGCGTCTCAAATTCATCTAGCGCTACAGGGCTCCTGGGCATTCCTGTGTCTGTCACAGGCTGTCCATCCCACCTACGAAGACTTGCTGTGTCCAGTCTCTGGGCAAGCAGACCACGCTGCAAAGGCAAAGCACCTGCCTTTGTCGTGGATTCAGTTAGGGTCAGAACTTCAAGCAGTTAAACCGAGGGCTGTTCTTTGGCCTCCAGTGTGGCTGGCTGTTCAGACCTCCGCTGTCTTCCTCCTCACCCATGCCAGACCTTTGCCTCGTCTGCCCTAGGGTGGCCTGGTGGGTAGATGCCAAACTTCAGAGGGTTGTGCCAGTGTGGGTGATGGCAGAGCCATTCCTGAGAGCCCTTTGCTTTTCTTATGTTGAAGAAAAGGACAGGGGCATCCAGAGGGCCTGAGAGGACTCACCAACCCCAATGTCATTCAATTCTGTCATTAAACATCTTACAGACAAAAAGTCCCAATTTCTTGAACAATTTAGCTTTGGTGGTAATCTAGAAAGATGTGCAGGTCTGGAAAAGGATGGAGGCTGAGTATAGTTAATCATGTAGATCCAAATTCAGTTGGCTTAAAAGACATGATGGTGGGCAATGGTTTGTTTAATGACACCGTAATTTAGGACACATGAGAAGGATTGCCTGCTAAAAATCATCATCCTTCATTCAAACTTTACAACGGTGCCCTGCATTAGGCCAAGAGGAAACCCATTAAGGCGACTTCTCAGGGGATGTGTCCACTACAGCGCTGGGAAATTTGGCAACCAAGATGCCACAGGAGGGTGAGGCCAGCACAGACACAAATGTATTTAAAGTAATTTTGCCTGTATAAAAATATTGTTCTTCTTTTTTGGCTACAATTCCTGATCTTGGTTAATAAATTACATCAAAATGACCTGAAGTTTAAAAAAAGGGGGAAAAAAATCTGAGCAAATAGTGCCCCTGGTATTGTAAAGCTTTGAATGTTTTCACACCCCATTAATTTATTACTTCTCTTTCTTCATCTTTAAATTTCATTTTTTTTTTCAAAAATTCCGACTCCCTGCTGCTGCAGTGATTTTCATCTTGTTGTTAATTTTCCCTGCTCCATATGGCGCTCCAGACATTTCACCTGGAGGCTGTACTAGATTTTGCTGTAGTGATCGTACTTCCGGAGGCCAAAACTGTCATTTAGGGTTCCTGGTGCAT